TCCTGGGTAGGTATGGGCCAGAGCTGCCCTGAGAGACCGGTGGCACCTGGAGTGCCCCTCTGGTGTGGGAGTTTGCTCTGGCTGCATGCTGAGCTGGGGGGTTGGCATGGCTGAAATGAGGTGCTGCGTGTGTGTGCTAACAAGCCTGCAACTCTTTTCTCCCTAGGCATGGAGTCTTGTGGCATTCATGAGACCACTTTCAACTCAATCATGAAGTGTGATGTAGACATCAGGAAGGACCTGTATGCCAACACAGTATTGTCTGGTGGTACCACAATGTACCCTGGAATTGCTGACAGAATGCAGAAGGAAATCACAGCTCTGGCACCTAGCACAATGAAGATCAAGGTAAGAAATGCTCCTTTGTCCTGCTGCGGACGATGCTGCAGGCCCCTGTGTTTTGTGGGAGGAGGCCGGAAAGCCCTGGGCAGTTCTGACTGCTCCTCTTCTCTTGCAGATCATTGCCCCACCTGAGCGTAAATACTCTGTCTGGATTGGTGGCTCCATCCTGGCGTCTCTATCAACTTTCCAGCAGATGTGGATCAGCAAGCAGGAATATGATGAGTCTGGCCCATCCATTGTCCACCGTAAATGCTTCTAAATGGACTGCTAGCAGATGCACAGCATCTGCTGCATGAGTTGTTTTCACTAGTATACGTTTGCCCAGGCAAATCTATACACCTCATGCTAGCCTCATAAAACTGGAATAAGCCTTCTTTCAAAAGAAACTTGCCCTTGGAAAGTCTGTATCTGATGTTAGACAAATGTCAGCACTGGATTGTCAAGCTGTCACTTGATTTGACCTTGTATTCAAGTTAACTGTTCCCTTGGTGTACACCTTAGCAGAATACCCTGTACAGATCTGATCTAAGCCTTGGGGCAGGTGCCTCGCGTGTGTGATGTCCTTGCTAAGGTTGACTTGTGTTTGTGGGGAGCCTATTCTGACAGTGGTTCTCACGGCTTGCTATACTGACAGTGACGCTTCTCCAAGAGCGCAGGCTCTGGGGCTCGAGGCAGATTTGTACAGGGTATTTGGAGTCAGACTTCCAGTACATTCAGTGTGGAGTATTCCAGATTTCGTGTAGAGGCTGGTAGGAGTCCATCAAGAATTCACCTCTGTTGCTACTGTTCTAGCAAGGTTGGGAAACATATCACATCCAAGCCTTATGAACCAGTCTTCATTTTCCTACCCACCTGTCTCCCAGTAAAACATCATGGGGCTGAAGTTACTCAACTTGAGTTGCTGAAACTTTTGCATTTACACCTGTAAATTTATGCATCAAGTTTAATTTATGTAAGATTTTTGTACGTTGCCTTAATGTTCTCACATGACAGTAGGAAACCAAAATTTGTAAGTCATCCTAAAGTTGAGAAATTGTAATGCCCAACAACACATCATTGTGTAAGGAAAATAAAAAAGCGCTGCAGTAAACGAAACCTTGGTGTCTGTGTCCTCGGGAAGGGTGAGGGGGTGGCTGCGGTGGTGAGACCTGAAGGCCTCCTGGCCTGGGAGCAGGTGTACGGCTGGGGAGGGAGCCAGCCCTGCCTGGGCTTGTCCTGTGGGTGCCTCGTGGGAGTCAGCTGGCACCAACTCACAGCTTCCTGCTTCTGTTTCCAAGGAAGCTGTCAGTTCAGTTGTTCTGGCACTTCAAAGCTTGCTGGAGCCCTAGTTGTTAAGTTTAAAAATAGCTGTTTACTTGCCAAGCAAGTGTCAGAGTGATGGAGGAGTTGTGATGGGAAGCTTTCCACCCTTGAACTTATCTCCAAGCAGTCTAATGACTTAATCTCAGGTTCTCCTTGGCTTTCTCTAAGCCCCCAGCGCAGTTTCATCCTGCCAAGGGCAAAGCTGCTTTTGGCACAAGGGGCTGCCTCTGGAAGAGCTGGTTTGATGCTGCAGCCTCCCTGGCTCCTGCGAGGTGGAGCGCTGGGGCTGGTGGTCTCGCCCACCCCTGGTGCGGAGGGGGAAGGAGCCCGAATCCCTCTCCTGTGTGAGGGATGGGGCACGAGCCCCCCTTCCCCTCTCCTGGGTGCCTGTCCATCCTCGCTGGTGGTGCAGGAGCACGGGGCAGCGCTGGCCCCGAGTTGGGAGGGGGGGAGCTGAGCTGCTGCAAAGCCTGCGCGGGGCCCGAGGCCGGGGCTGTCCGGCCGGCTGCAG